CAGATTCTCCAGCACTTGCAGTTCCTACTATCTCTGAAACAATTCTTGTCCCAGTCTAAGTCTGCATTTGAAAAACACAAGTCTTTTAAAAGAAGTACAGAGAATATTCAGGATCATCATGCTCCTCGAAGCGTGAAGGGCAAGTCCAGGGAACCCTGGATGTCAAGGGATATTGAGAGATTGATTAAGAAAAAGGAAGCAAGTGTTAGGTATTGAGCATTAAAAGACAGGAGGCCTTTCAGGAGTATACAGCGTGTAGGGGGTTGCGTCAAAACAAATTAGGAGGGCAAAGGGAAGCCGCAAAGTATTTTTTTGCAGATAGAATTAAAGAAAAGCTCCAAAACATTTTATAAGCATACTCAAGAGGAAGAGGATTACCAGGGAAAGAGTAGGTCTATTAGAGACAAAAGGGGCAATCTGTCCACGGAGCCAGAGGGCAGGGGTGAGGTGTTAAATAAATATTTCTCATTGTAACTGGAGTTCTCAGTTAAGATGGCGAGATTCTAGAGCATGTTAAGACAAATAAGGAGGAGGCATTAAGTGTTTCTGTGAGCATAAAAGTGCATATATCCCCAAGGTCCAATCAGATATAACCCATGCTGTCATGGGAGGTAAGATGGAGCCCTGGCAATCAGTTTAATACTTCACTGACCACAGGTGAAGTTCCAGATGACTGGAGGATAGCTAATGTATCTCGTTTCTTCAAGGGCAGTAAGGATAGGCCAGATAATTACAGACTGGTTACTGATATCAGAGGTAGGAAAAATTAATGGAAAACTATTCTGCGGGATACGATTAATCAACACTTGGAAAGGCAGGGATTGAACAGGGATACTCAGCACAGATTTATTGGAGGGAGATCCCGTCTGACTAACTTAATTGAGTTTGTTGGAAAAGGTGACGAAACATATTGATGAGTAGTGCCGTTGATGTTGTTTACATGGACTCCAATAAGGCCTTTGACAAGATCCCACATGCAAAACTGGTCCAAAAGGCAAGAGTTCATGGGATCCAAGGCAAATTGGCAAAATGGGTCAATAATCAGGAGGCAGAATGGGCTGGTGGAGGGTTGTTTGTGTGTTTGGAACCGGTGACCAGCAGCACAACACAAAGATCAGAGCTGTGGTCCTTATTGTTTGTTAGGTACATAACAAACTGGCACTTTTCAATGAAATAGAGATAATCCACGAATTGACAGTCCATAACATTGTACATGGACACAACCAAACTGGGCCAGTGAGTGCAGAAGAAAGAAATCCCTGTTTGGACATTCTATTGCATTTTTATGCTTTTATCGTTCCTCGATCTCTCACAAAGAAAGACTTAAATGTCGTCTTCGCGACAAACCGGTTGGAGGATGAAGAATATTTAAACCTGGCAATAAAGATACAATTTAATCCCCACTTCAAGGTTTTATCTTCTACCCTTAAAAGCAACTTCGAAGTCTACATTTACAATGGACACTTCCTATGCTGCAATTATACCATCTCATTTATGGCATTGATTTCAGTGACAAGTGAGTGTTTACTGCAGCATAGACATTCGTGCAGTTGAATCCATTAGAAGTATGAACACTGGAATTTACAAATGATAGGTCGACAGGAGAATACAGAGGCAAATTTACTTTACTATCAGCAAGTTGATCAGTGCAATACCCACAATTAGGTACAGATTTTTTTTCTCTAACTATACATAGATACATGAGCATTTATCACATTCCAGTTTGAGGCCTACTGTTACAAGGTTACATGAGTATAATGAAACTTGCTTTAAACATTCTCTGAAGTCAGAGACTAGCACTGCTGCATTTAAGTGCACTAAGCATTCTATATGCAGCATAATCCACAAGGCATGACAATAAGGCTTTCTTGTATATGGACTTAACACTGATCACTTCACATATTCCAGGAAGCATGCTTCTCTGATCATATGAAGACAGACTGAAACATTTGGTGAGATGTGTCCAGAGTTAAATACTTAAGCTCCTTTATTTTGAGAAGAAAGCAAAAAAAATGTGCATTTACCAAGATCAGCCATCTGCCATGTATAGGCAGGTAACCCTGATGAATCCCACTCCATCTCTGCAAATAATTAAAAACAAAAGGGCCCAGAGGAAAGGTAGGGTCAAGGAGCCAATACACTGGGGCACTCTTAAGCACCGATGCACCTCTGCTCCCAGCAGTGCCTAAAAATCCAGGTCCAGGTGTCTACTAAATGATCCAAATCCAAAACACTGATCACGAGAAGTCAAAAGCTCACTAATGAGGATAGTTTGACTTCAGATTTTTGTTCTCTGGGTGACATTGCTTAGAACTGAAGAGCTTTGCTTTTCCCCAGACAGTTGAGGACATATACATTGCTGTTTTACAGTGAATAATGAAAGGACCATGTGCTTATCTGCCCACTGCCTTCAATGACTTACAATAAAGGGTAGAAAATGCTGGAGAAACTCAGCCTGTCTGGCAGCGTCTATGGACAGAAGAGAGACACACAGTTAACATTTCAGGTCATCTAGCACACAGGACACACATGCATCGCATGCACCTACACAGGATGTATCTAGGGGCTCTTAGCATTCTCTCACATTGTGCCAGCCTGCATTTACTTCATATTACATTCTTAGTGCACACTCACTGACCTCAGCACTAACTCTGTGGCTAGCATTGCACAGGGAAAGACAGGCAGCTTGTCAAGGTGGGGATCACAAAATAGCTAATGGTTGAATATGTTACTGCGTAGCACTGTGCAATGTCAGCAGCTTATACTGCAAACACTTTGCTGTGAAAACTAAAGGAGGCAGTCCCTAGTCAGGTAAAGGAGTACTATGATCAGGAGGTGCCACCACAGTCAGCTAGGCACTTAGTCCCACAAGAATACAGGCATGTGTTTTTCTAGTGAGGGTGTTGGTTTATGGTCAGTCCTGCTGGTCAAGATATATCAGAGTACTGCAGAGATAGCATTTATAGCACAGGTCAGTTTTCTGTAATGAGACAAAAGGGCAGAGGTAGTGAAGTGTCTCCAATGGGGGAGTATGAAACACGGGGTAGAAAGGTTTAACTGTTTGGGAGGTTGAGGCAAACAGGAGACATTGAGTGGACATGATGCAAAAAGAATGTTGAAGTCCATGAACCTTGGTGAGCATTGTGTGCAATGAGTGAGTGATGGTCCTGAAAGTGCACGGTAACAAAGAGAAAGTTGAACACACGTCCATGCAGAGTGCTGACTTTCTTTCTACACTGCTAGGCACCTTGATCCAACCAGAGTGTAGCACTGACCCAGGCTGGATGTGTCTGATGGTGTGGACTCCTGTAGTAGTCAGTTGGAAAAAGGACAGTCTTCCTCCCCCCATCCTGTCTAAGATTTCTACATTCCTGCCTGAAGTGGGAAGTAAGTTCTCCTTGCCTCTGGGCCATGTCCTGAAGGTTGAGGCTCAAGCACCACAATGTGAGAAGTCATTCCTGGCTTGCAACATCTGAAGTTGTATGGAGCCTGTCTTCAAACATGGCACTAGTGGTGTGAACGCCTCAAGATGCCAGCATTGCCAAGCACATCACCTCTCTGGCAGCATCATCCAAGGTAGGCCCAACAGCCCTACTGTATAATGAAAGAAGTACAGAGCAGATGACTATCTGAAAAAAATAGGTGCTTGGAGCCACAGTGGACGGAATAGATTTCCCTTAACAAACCACCGAATCAAAATAAGAACATTTTACCTAGAGTGCTTTTCAGGCAGCAGTCTTCAATATCTATTGAGACCATCACCAGTCACTTTGAAAGTAAAGCTATTTGGATCATTCCACAAGCTGATACATTCCTTGTTCAAAGGTTAAAAAGGTCCTCTTAGTGTGAGGTGGTCCTGAGGAAACATGACAGGCTGGGTGCTGAAAGGATATTTCCTTTTGTTAGAAAGGTAGAACACAGTTAAAAAAGGAATTCTGAGCATCATGAGTTTATCCCCAGACCTGTCCCCAAGAAATGGAAGAGGGACAGGTTCACTAAACATTTAAGGCACAGGAAGTAAGTTAGCAGATGACACCAAAAAGGTGGTGTAGTGGACAGTGAAGAAGATTATCGCAGAGTACAATGGGGCCTTGATCAGATGGGCTGAAGAGTGGCAGATGGAGTTTAATTTAGACTAATGTGAAGTGCTACATTTTGGTAAGACAAACCAGGGCAGGACTTGTACAATGAATGGTAGAGCCATGGGGTGTGTTGCTGAACAAAGAGACCTAGGAATGCAGGTGCACAGTTCCTTGAAAGTGGAGTTGCAGATAGACAGGGTGGTGAAGAAGGCATTTGGTATGCCTACCTTCATTGGTCATAGCACTGAGTATAGGAGTTGGGATGTCATATTGTGGTTGTACAGGACAATTGGTATTTTAGAATACTGCATACAATTCTGTAGGAAGGATGATGTTAAACTTGAGGGTGCAGAAGAGATTTACAACGATGTTGCCGGGACTGGAAAATTTGAGAAATAGGGAGGGGCTGAATAGGCTGGAGCTTACCACATTCCCCGACCGGAGTGTTCGAGACTGAGGGGTGACCTTATTGGGGTTTTATAAAATCATGATGAAATGGATAGGGTGAATAACTATTGTCTTTTCCCCTAGGGTGGGGGAGAACAGAACTAGAGTGCACAGGTTTAAGGTGAGAGGGGAAAGATTTAAAAAAAAAAGGACCGGAGGGGTAATTTTTCTCCTCCCCCCACACAGAGAATGGTGAGTGTATGGAATGAACTGCCAGAGAAAGTGGTGAAGTTAGATACAGTTACAACATTTAAAAAGGTATCTGGATGGGTATACGAGTAGGAAGGGCGTAAGAGGGATATGGGCCAAATGCTGGCAAATGGGACTAGGTCAGATTGGAATGTCAGATCTGTGGGGATGAGTTGGACTGAGGAACCTGTTTCCGTGCAGTATGACTCCAAAGAATCTATCTAGTCAGACTGTCTTATTAACAAGGGTATCAAGGACGGAAAGTGGAGTTGAAATCATAATCTGATCAGCCATGATCTTACTGATTGATGGAGCTTGTACACGCAGGTAAACGGACTATTACATGGCCTGCTCCTAATCCATATGTTCATAACAGTGCTTGCAAAAATGTTATGTTTCATGTTTATGGAAGGAATAGAATCTTTCTTATGAGTGATCATGTTTGAATTTTTGAGAGGCCTCATATCTTGATATTTATATATTCAAGGACAGCGAGCACTCTTGCAAATCCCATTAGATGCAATATTTTTGTTGCTTTGAGCGCAACAGACATTTCTTTTTCCTTTATCCGACAAAAGCTCCTGTGATCAGCATTTCTGCACCTATGTAAGGAGGGAGGGAGAGAGACACACTCAGCTTCACCTTCCAGCTGGGCTGGAGTTAAAAATCTGGTCATATCTTGTGCTTATTATGGCAAGATTGTTTCTTTAAAATCTCCTTCCACTTCAGTCCAGAGTCAGCTTCAGTCATGACTGTGCATTTAAGCAGCAATTTTCATATTGCATCTCTGAAGATTTGGATTTGTAACGAAGCTGCAGTTTAAAAACAAAGCAATAAAGTCAGGAATTGTGCTTGTCCCACTAGGATCATTGGCTTCTGAAGCTGGGGGTGGGGGAGGCGGTGTGGAAATGGAGGGAAATCCTTTGGGGATGCAGGTGATCTCTCCCTCCAACCATTCAAATATTAACAATTGCACCCAGACAGACACTGATGGGCCTCTAGGTCTGCCTTCAACACTGTCCCCCATTTGCTGCAATCAGGGAGTATGGCCACCTGCAGGCATCTGCAAGGAAAACCAGTAAAACTGGTGAAGACATTGGCATGCTAGTCCAACCCATCTTGAAGACCTCCCAATAGATGTCCAGTACAACCAGCACGCTCATTTCCAAGTACTAGAGGCTTTCCTTTCTGCACTTGGATATCCTCAGTTAGTTCCCTTTAATTGGTATTAAGTGGCCACATTAACAAGTTGGATTGGCACAACCACGTACAGGCGATTAGCCCTGCAGTCATCTCCATCTCACCTCAGCAGTAACGACTTGTGGTGGAATGGAGTTGGGGATCTAGCATGTAGTCAAGCAGTACCACATTATTAATACTTTCCAGCCTCCAATCCCAGGCCCAATGGAGCTGGGGAGAAAAAAAAAAACAAGCCTTTTGTGTTTGCTCTTAAAAAAACTTCTCTTCAATTAGACTTTACTTAAAATTTGTTTTGTACTAAATTATAATAATTTAACAATGTTTGCAAACTCCTTAGTTGTTGAGATTGAAATCTACAGATAGTATAATAGAATTCCTAAATTGATATCATTCTGCACAGAGTTTGGAAAAAACTACGATTGTGTAGAATAAAATCTAAAATCTGGTTTCAGATAAATATTGCACTGTCATTTACTTTCACCACCTACAGCACTGCACAAAAAAGGGACTTTGAAGTGTCAAAAGAATCTCATAACATTAGAAAGCAGGTTGGTATCTGTATTCATTAAATACGTGGCAAACTTAGAGAAAACACAAGGGTGAAACATTATTTTAAGCACTGAGAGCTTTAAACTAAAAATTCATTCAAATAAATATAAACCAGTTGACACATTTCTTATCTGCAGATTTCCCATGAGTTTACTCCCAGTAATTCACAGGAAATACTGTTTTACAGCAAGGAGTGTGCACCAAAAAAAATTGTTGGACACTGACACAGGAATGGGTTTTAAAATCACAAGACAATTGTTAGGGACAAGCTGTAGGACTATTTGCATGTGGAAAATGCAAAATCTGATGACAAGAAAAGATATTCCAGTTCCAAATATACTGGGTGGACTACATGTGTTGATAAGTCATAGTTCTGCCTTATTTAGATTCTAGCTCAAAAGTTAAAAACTTTTTTTTAAGGGACCATTGGCAGAGCTGGATTTGGAGGACGTGCAAATGTATTTATTGTGCTGCTTACAAGCACTGGGAAGATGGCTACACATTCTGGAAGGGACAGGGGTGAATTTGGCAGCAGCAGTTTTGTTGTGGGGGCAAGGGCAGTTCTGTTTACTCCAATATGATGTCAAGAAATGGTTGGACACACCGAGTACTGCAAGGCTATGCATCCTGACAACATTCCTGCAGTTATACTAAAGACTTGTGCTTCAAAACTTGCCAGACCTCTAGCCAAGCTATTCCAAAACAACTGCAACACTAGCATTTACCCATCACTATGGAAAACTGCCCAATGATGCCCAGTTTGTGTTCTGCCAAAGCAACTCAGTTCTTGACCTCATTACAGCCTTTGGTTCAAACATGAAGGTTACCAAGTATTTAATGAATACAGATACCAACCTGCTTTCTAATGTTGAGATTCTTTTGACACTTCAGAGTCCCTTTTGTGCCGTGCTGTAGGTGGTGAAAGTAAATGACAGTGCAATATTTATCTGAAACCAGATTTTAGATTTTATCCTGAACATAAAGAGGTAAGGTGATCATAACAGCCCTTGACGTTAAAGCCACATTTGACCATGTGTGGCATCAAGGAGTCTTGTGAAAATTGGAGTCAATGGGAATTGGGGAATAACTGTCTGCTGAATGGGGAGTCATACCTAGCACATAGGAAGATGGTTGTGGTTGTGGTTGTTGGGGGGGGGGTCAGTCATCTCAGGTCCATGACATCTCTGGAGGAGTTCCTCAGGGCTGAGTCCTTCCAAGCAGGTCCATTTCCATTTCAGAGGCCAAGAGCAGCAGATAGACACCATAAATGTGGAGTTGGAAAAGCACAGTCAGTCAGACAGCATCTGAGGAGCAGGACAGTCAACATTTCAGGCTGAAATCCTCCGTCAGGACTGACATCAAGGCAGCAAAGACTTGGAAGCTCCCCTCCAAGCCACTCACCATCATGATGTGGAAATATATCACTATTCCTTCAGTATTGCTGGGTCAAAGTCCTGGAACTTAGTCCCGCAATGCCATGAGGACAATCTACAGCAAGTGGACTGCAGTGGGTCAAGAAGGAAGTTCACCACTACCTCCTCTAGGCCAACAAGGGATGGGCAATGAATGTTTGACCAGCCAGTAACACCTCTATCACATGACAAAATGAAAGTTCCACTGTCCAATACAAGACTGTCCTCATTTCAGGAATCAATTAAGCAAATCTTTGCCATTTTCCTTTCTAAAGGAAACCTGGAATCAATGTATATCGGTTGAGGGGAGGGGGAGAGCAAACTCTCCGGCAGTTGGAATCATACCTGACACATAGGAAGATGGCCATGGTTGCTGGAGGTCAGTTATCTCAGCTCCAGGACATCTCTGCAGGAGTTCCTCAGGGTAGTGTCCTAGGCCCAACCAACTTCAGCTGCTCCATCAATGACCTTCACTGCATCATAAGGTCAGCAGTGGGGATGTTCGCTGATGATTGCACAATGTTCAGCACCTTTTGCGATTCCTCAGATACTGAAGCAGTCCATGTTCAAATGCTACAGGATCTGGACAATGTCCAGGCTTCAGCTGATAAGTAGTAAGTGACATTTGCACCACACAAATATCAGACTATGACCATCATCATTAAGAGACGAACTAACCACTGTCCCTTGACATTCAATGCTGTTACCATCACTGAAATCCCCTACTATCAACATCCTGGGGGTTATCATTGACCAAAGACTCAACTGGACTCACCATATAAACACAGTGGCTACAAGAGCATATCAGAGGCTAGGAATACTGCAGCGAGTAACTCACCTCCTGACTGCCCAAAGCCTGTCCACCATCACAAGGCACAAGTCAGCAGTGTGATAGAATACTCCCTACATGCCTTAAATGAATGCAGCTCCAACTGTCCTCAAGAAGCTTGACATCATCCAGGACAAAGCAGCCCGCTTGACTGGCATTACATCTACAAGCAGTCACTCCCCACCAGCAACCATGTACTGAACATGGTTGCTACTATCTAAAGGATGCACTGCAGAAATTCACGAAAGATCCTCAGACCTTCCAAACTCACGACCACCTCCATCTAGAAGGACAAGAGCAGCAGATACATGGAAAGACCACCAACTTCACAATTGTTTACAATTTACATAGATGATTTGGAGTTGGGGACTAAGTGTGGTGTGTCAAAATTTGCAGATGACACTAAGGTGAGTGGTAGAGCAAAGTGTGCAGAAGACACAGACTATCTATATCCCTCTGCAGACTTTCAAAGTGAGTGGGCAAAGGTCTGGCAGATGGAGTACAATGTTGATAAGTGTGAGGTCATCCATTTTGGTAGGAATAACAGCAAAATGGACTATGTTTTAAATGGTAAAAAAATTGCAGCACGCTGCTGTGCAGAGGGACTTGGGTGTCCTTGTGCATGAATCGCTAAAAGTAGGATTGCAGGTGCAGCAGGTAATTAAAAAGGCAAATGGAATTTTGTCTGTCATTGCTAGAGGGATGGAGTTTAAAAACAGGGAGGCTAAGCTGCAGCTGTATAGGGTCCTGGTGAGGCCACACCTGGAGTACTGTGTGCAGTTTTTGTCTCCTTACTTGAGAAGGGATATACTAGCACTGGAGGGGGCGCAGAGGAGATTCACTCAGTTGATTCCAGAGTTGAGAGGGTTGGATTATGAGGAGAGACTGAGTAGACTGAGATTATACTCATTGGAATTCAGAAGTATGAGGGGAGATCTTATAGAAACATACAAGATTATGAAGGGAATAGATAAGGTGGAGGCAGGGAGGTTGTTTCTGCTAGCAAGTGAAACTAGGACTAGAGGGCATCGCCTCAAAATAAAGGGAAGCAGATGTAGGACTGAGGTCAGGAGGAACTTCTTCACCCAAAGAGTTGTGAATCTGTGGAATTCCCTGCTCAGTGAAGCGGTTGAAGCTACCTTGCTGAACGTTTTTAAGGCAAGGCTAGATAAATTTTTGAACAGTAAAGGAATTAAGGGTTATGGTGTGTGGGCGGGTAAGTGGAGCTGAGTCTCAAAAAGATCAGCCATGATCTTATTAAATGGCGGGGGAGGCTCGAGGGGTCAGATGGCCTACTCCTGCTCCTAGTTCTTATGTTCATGTTCCCCTCCAAGCCACTCACCATCCTGACTTGGAAATATAATCGCCATTCTTTCACTGTCACTGGATCAAAATCCAAGAATTCCCTTTCAAATGGCATTGTGGGTCAACCTATAGCAAGTGGATTGCAGCAGTTCAAGAAGCCAGCTCACCACCACCTTCTCAAAGGCAACTTGGGATGGGCAATAAATGCTAACCTAGCCAGGGACACCCAAATCCCACAAATGAATTTTAAAAAAAAAAAACTCCTTTCTTTGGTAGGAATATTAATACTGCACACAGTACTAAAAGATACCTAGTCTTGCCATATTGCAAGACTTTCTTACTCTCACACACCATTGTCATATTAAATATGAACATATCATTGGTTTTTTTAAACCTCCAACTGTTTGCTGTACATGCAAGATAAATGCAAGATAATCCATATGTAAATTCTTCTCAATCTTTTCTAGCCCTGCACCTGACAAAAAAAAAAAAACTGCTATTCCATTCTTCTTGGATTTTCCACACACAACATGTCCTTCTCCATTCCCAACTCATAAGGGATACAAAATGGAATGCTGATATCTACGAGGATGAGGAAGAATGCTGGAAGAGATGAACCGAGTTGGGGGCAACCTGCATTCATGTAAAGTAAATGTCAAGCGAAAGTTTTCCTTTACATTCTGCTGGTGCTAATCTAACATTTCATTCTACCCCTCCTACAGAGTTCTTAAAACATTTATACTCCTGTTATACACAATATAGCAACAGCTTTGTAAATAAGTTTATTTAAAGTCAACCTGAAATCAGCTCTTTCACCACAGGTTACTGTTTACACTTTTTACTCTCTTCTAACTATTGAAACAAAAAGAGCGAAAACAGACTTGCTGCAGAAACAGAAAGGGTGAAGGCAGAAGTGTGGAAAATAGGTCAGTCACAGCTGTCAGCCAGGTCAACCACAGCATAGCGAATCCTCAGCTGAAGAAAACAAAAACTGGATCTTTCGGAGCAGCCTCCCACCCACCATTTGTCAGAACAGATGAAAGAAACTGGAAAAACGTAATGGCGTTCTTGCAGGAGGTACCTTGTGAGGATGTATAGTCAAGGTAACTGAGGACGTCAATGAGTTTATAATTGATATCAGGGACCAGTCTATCCCCAAACACCAGAAACTAATGTTGAGGAAGGGAAGAGAGAAGTCAGAGATGGACCAGGTGAGTGTGACAGCGGAATGGAAATTGCAAGCAAAATTAATACACTTTTCCAATTCTAGGCAGGAGAGGGGAGCAGTATTATATCATCCACATATCGGAGAAAGCTGTGGGGAGGGATCCTAGTAGGACCGGAACAAGGAATGTTTCACATACCTAAGGAGACAGACATAGCTGGAGCCCATGGCCTCATCTTTGACCTGAAGAAAGCAGGAAGAGTTAAAAGAGAAGTTGGTCAAAGTGAGGACAAGGTTGGCCAGGTGGAGGGAGGTGACGGTGGCCAGGTACAGTTCAGGCCTTCTTTCAAGGAAGAAACGCAGAGCCTTCAGATCGGCCCTCACTGCATGTCCATGGTGAAGAGGAAGCAGCTGGTGCTAACAAACTGGAAATTTTGAAACAAACATGTTTGTATTTATTCATAAAAGGTGCAAACTAATTGCTTTAGTGAGGAGTTGTGAAGTCTAGTAGCAACTGCGCAAAAGGTTGGTTCAAACACACCTGGAGTACTGTGTGCAGTTTTGGTCTCCTTATCTTAGGAAAGATCTTATTACTCTACAGGGAATGCAATGAAGGGTCATCAGGCTTGTTCCCGAGATGGTGGAACTGTCCATGAAAAGAGATTGGGCAAACTGGGCCTGTATTCTCTAAAGTTTCAAAGAATGAAAGGTAACCTCAGGGTAAATACAGGCAAGACATTTCCCCTGGTTGGAGAGTCTAGAACCAGGGGTACAATTTAAAAATAATGCGATTTAGGATCAAGAGGGGGAGGCATCAAGAAATAATTTTTATTTCCCCAATGTCAGATTCCAAAGTTAATCCATAATCATTTTCAATTCACTAAATGCCATTGAAGAGTTAAGTTTTGTTGACATGTACTGTCAGTACTGAATCTCATTTTGAATAAATTTTTAACATTGTATTTACAGTTGGCAAACTATTTCATACAAAAGGTCTCAAATCCTCACATTTAGATCATTGTACAAAATGCACAGAAGGAAAACATGACTTATTAATCTCGTTAATAATTGTCTGAAAACAGAGGGGAAAAAAATCTCAGCTAAAAAAAGAACAAATCTTCCTGTTACTATTGCTTCCGAAGCAATTTAAAGCTCATACTACAGAGCTTAGATCTGCAGTGCTTTTCAAGCTTCTAGTTTAAGTCTGTAATCGGAGGGCAAATCCCAGCATGCTTAGCAGAATTTCTTATTCTGTAAATGTTATCACTGACATACAGGTACTTTAAGAAAATATTTAAATTTAAAATGCGAATGTTTAACAGAATTTTACTTTACGTTATTGCTCTCCCCAAATATTTAACATGGTTTTAATGATTTGTCGCTATAGCAACTCAACGTCAGGCAACCTTCTATCATATGATTGTTCTGTGCTTCATAGGCACGCTGGGATTTGTAGTCTATTTACACACAATCTCAATTTCAATTAGATCACACCTGACAATACAGGCAATAGGTGTAACAAAGATTTTGACAGACCACCATCTGACAACTTCTAAAATTACTGCAAATGCAAATATAAAATGTCCTCATTA